CCATCTGACAAGTCCAAGCCCTTAATCATGAGATTGTATCTACTACCTTCTATCATAATTGCAAAATGATGATCCACTGGGGCACTAGACTTGGGCCACATCAATACTTATACTCAGACTCCAATATCAGTGCCGTCCCCGTGGAGAGATGTCGCATCCATAACTACTCAGTTTAAAATCTTGCTTTCTTGACCACAGAAGACATTGGCCATGAATTATCATGAGCATTCTCATTTCTGGGATCAGAGAGGCTAATGCTCAAAGAATCTACAGGTCCAAAATAAGTCTGAGTTTAACATGGATTCACTTGATCCTAGATTGAAATGAACATGTGCTATGATTCCAAGCCGTGATTTTGAAAACCATGTATCACAGGAAGATTTTTGCTTCACTCTAATTTAGAAAATCTTATCCCAAAGTAGCCAAGTTTCTCATTCTCCCAGGAAAAAGACCAGGAGTAGATCCCTTTCTTAGGGAGCCAGGTTGAACATCCACGTAATCAAAGCAGCCTATCTTACTGAGCTCCTTTTGCTCATAGAGACACAAAGCAGATGGATGAAGCAGCTGGGATTAGAACTGAGTGTTCTTTGAGGCTCCGGACTCTGTTTCCACAGCAACATCATACCTGGAGAAAAAGCAGTCTGTGATGAAGCCCAGCATGTCTGTCTCCATAACAACAGGATCATGGCAACTTGGCTGTGATTCCTCCCTCTTCCTCCTCAGCAGTGATCATGGTAACAATGCCATACACTTTCATTTACCGAATAGACAAATGTACACCTCTGAATTCCTTTGATGGATGTCCTAGGTCAGATTTCCCAGTTGTAGACCCTGAGATTAGAGTTTGTGTGCAAGCGATTTATTAAAAAGAAATGCTCCAAAGGGAAACCAGAAAGGTAGGACCAAGTGGTACAGGAAAAGAGAAAGGCAGCAATACCACCTGGACACAGTCCTACAGAGGGTAACTTCAGCCTAATCTTGTGAGGGAAATCAGAGTATAAATTGTCCCCCAGAGTTGCCTGACTCATCTGTCATCATTAAGGTCTATCCCAAGGGGAGGTAATTCCCTTGTACTTTTACCTTTTTACCTTTCTGAAAAATCAGGCTCATCAGGCTCTAGGGACAGAGCATTTTGGAGAAAGGTCACAAGTACTGGATTTGGAAAGCACAGCAAAACCAAGTGGTGCCCAAAAATGGTGATATAGTGTTCAAGGGGTTCCGAGTAGAGCAGCACCATGATCTAATATGTTGGAGAAGCATGGATAGGCAGATGTAAAAGAAAAAATGAAGTCAGCCAAACCTCTCTCACACATCTCAGATGGTGTTTGCTTGGAGCTGCCTAATATGGGCTTTAAACAACCAAAATCAACTAACAGCTACCGATCACCCATATTTGTCTAGCACCAGAGTGGGAATTACAGAAACATCGAGCAACAGGACACCCTGGATTCATGCTACCTAGAAAAGGCCATGCTTTGGTGCAAGAAGCAGGAAATCAGGAGTTGTACAGCTATTCAGCATGGCTTCAATGATGACCACTTGATGTGGACATCAAAAAGAAGACCCAAGTTAACAGAAAGGAAAAACAAAGATGCTCAAAGGGATTGTCCCTCAATCCTGACATCCAGTAATTCATAACCTGAGTTTTGATCCTGCCCTAATCCTAATTTTTTCTGTGTGATCTAAGACAAGTTAATGTCTTTCAATATGAGATGTTTCTTCTGTAAAATGAAAATATTAAAACCACTCTGGACTCCCACTTTGGAGCAGATGAGTTAAACTTAAATTTCCCTATTCCTCTCATTAAGTACAACTAGAAATCCTGGATGTTATGTCTAAAACTAAGAAGAATCTAAAAGGTGGAAAGAAGAAAGCAGACCAGTTAGGGACCTAAGAGCCCAAGAAATAACACAATGATGAGGTTCCTGGAATTTTTTCTTTTTCTTTTCTTTCTTTTTTTTTTTTCCTTTATATGTCACAGACTTGAAACTAAAGAAACTGGCAGCCTAGAAACACCAATGAGCACAGGGAAAACAAAAACAAAAGCTTCTCTCTCAGCCAAAGGACTAAAGGAGCAATCTACCAAGACAGAAAACTTTTAAACAGTAACTACTCTACTGCAGCCAAGTATCACAGAAAATATTATGACCCAACCAATACCCATGCCAACAAAATCAAAGTCTATTCAAATTCACAGTTTTAAAACTTCCAAAAAAGAAATCTCCAGACCCAAATGGTTTAACTGGAAAATTTTATCAAATGTCTAAACAAAAATTAAGACCCATTCTATACAATCTTAGTTTGTGGAAGAGAAAGAAACACTTCTTAATTCATTTTAGAAATCAAATACTACAGTTATACCAAAACCATTCAAAGCCATTACACAGAGAAATATAAGGAGAAGTAGAAGGAAAGGAGGAGGAAGAAGAAGAGGAAGAGGAGGAAAAGAAGAAGAAAAAGGAAAAGGGATAGGAGGAGGTCTGGTTGCAGTGGTGCACACCTGTAATGCCAGCTATTTAGGAGGCTGATGCAGGAGGATAGCCTAGGAACTTAGTGAGACCCTGCCTATCTCAAATTTTTTAAATGAAAAAGGACTGAGGACATAGCACAGCAGAAGATGTGCTTGCCTAGCATGTGTGAGGCCCTGGATTCAATCCCCAGTGCTACAAAAAAGAAAAGAAAGAAAGAAAAAAGGAAAGAAGGAAAGAAAGTCAGTTAAAAACCATAAATAAATGGATTTTTCTTTCTCATCTACAAGACTTATTAAACATTCAAAAACTAATCAATGTAATCTAGCATATTAACAAGCTAAAAAGAAAAAAATTCACATGATCATATTAGTAGATAGATAAAATCATTTGACAAAATTCAATGCTCATTCATTATAAAACTCTAAGAAAAATAGACATGGAGGAGAAATTCTTCAACTGATAAGGAGCTTCAACAGAAGTCTTTGTCATTAACCTTATACTTAATGTGACAGACTGAATGCTTTAACTGAATTCAGGAACAAGGTAAAAATTTCCATTCATCACTCTCATTCAACATAGTGATTTGTCTATGCAGAAAATTCCAAGAAATCTAAAACTAAAACAAAATTCTCACAATTAATTAACCATTTTGGCAAGGTCACAGAATAGAAAATAAATATACAAAATCAATTGTACTTCTACATATGAGTGATAAACACGTGGACACCAAATTTAAAATATAATAACTCATACTTGTTCAAAATTTTAAATATTTAGGTATAAGCCAATCAAATCATGTTTAGGCTTTCATTATGAACTGAATATATGTGTGCCCCCAAATTTATATGTTGAATCCCTAACTAACAATTTGATGGCAATAGGAGATGAGGTTTTGGGGAGGCACTTAGGTTTAGATGAGGTCATGAGGGTAGGGTTCTTATGATGGTATTAGTACCATAACAAGAAGATATCAGAGCTCTGCTGCCACTATGCAAGGACACAGCAAGAAGATAGTTGTCTTTAAGATATAAAAGAGAGCAGACAACCTCCACCTGTCCTCCATGTGGAAGGAGGAGCAGCAGAAGACCCCATAGAAGCAGAGTGACCATGCATGCATGGTAGGACTTGAGCTCCATCTACCATCTCTTAGGGTGGCTTTTCCCACTGGCTTCCATCTAGTGACAACAGCCAGGACTTACAAGGCCATCATCCAGGTTCCTGCAGGCAAGGTATTGGTAAACTACAGGGACACTATAAGATTATAAGGTAGAAACTGTAATACCTCAAATCCACACTGCTAGAAAGGAAAACACACAAACAATATGAAGAAACAAGGGAAGAAAATGCCCAAAACAAACCAAGTTGATACAATAATAGATTTCACTGATAGCACAGTAGATGAAATGTCAGAGAAGGAGTTCAGAATGTACACAATTAAAATGATATGCAAAGCAAAGAATGAATTAAGAGAGCAAATATAGGCAATAATTGACTTCTCCAACAAAGAGATAAGATAGGAAATACAGGTAGCAAAAGATTACTTCAAGAGATTGAGACCCTGAAAAAAAAAGACAAATGGAAATCCCTGAAATGAAGGAAACAATAACCCAAATAAAAAAATCAATAGAAAGTGTCAACAACTGACTAGAGTACTTGGAAGACAGAACCTCAGGCAATGAAGATAAAATATATAATCTTGAAAATAAAGTTGACCACATAGTAAAGATGATAAGGAAACCATGAACAGAACATCCAAGAATTATGGGATGACATGAAAAGACCAAATCTAAGAATTATCAGGATAGAGGAAGACATAAAGTTATAAACCAAAGGAATGTACAATCTCGTCAATGAAATAATATCAGAAAATTTCCCAAACATGAAGAATGAATTGGAAAATCAAATACAAGAGGATAACAGGACACAAAATGTACAAAATTACAACAGATCCACACCAAGGCACATTACAATGAAAATGTCTAGAATACAGAATAATGAGAGAATTTTAAAAGCCACAAGAGAAAAGTTTTAGATTACATATACAGGAAACCAATTTGTATCTCAGCAGATTTTTCAACCCAGACCATCAAAGCTAGGAGATCCTGGAACAACATACACCAAGCTCTGAAAGAAAATGGATACCAACCAAAAATCTTATATCCAGCAATATTTCATCATCCAGATTTGATGATGAAATAAAAACCTTCCATGATAAACAAAAATTAAAATAATTTATAACAAGAAACCCTACACTACAAAACATCCTTAGCAAAATATTCCGTAAGGAGGAAATGAAAAACAACAATGAAAATCAGCAAAGGAAGGAATCACACTAAAGGAAAAACCAATCAAAGGAGAAACCAACTCAAGTTAAAAACCAAAAATAAACCAAAATGACTGGGAATACAAACCACGTCTCAAGGCCGCCTGGCCTGGCGCGGCTCAGTCGGCTCGAGTGCTCCCGGTGAGGAGGAGGTGTCCTCGGCTGTGCCGCCCTCCGCCGCCGTCGCCGGGCTGCGCCGCTAGAGCCGGGACGCGCCTCCGCCCTCCTCGCCGCCTGCACCCCCGCGGCCGCCGCTCCCCTCGCTGTCCGCACACCCACCATGACGAAGAATGAGAAGAAGTCCTTCAACCAGAGCCTGGCCGAGTGGAAGCTCTTCATCTACAACCCGACCACCGGAGAGTTCCTGGGGCGCACCGCCAAGAGCTGGGACCAAATTGTCTTGAATTTGTGATCCTCCTGCCTCAACCTCTCAAGTAGCTGGGATTACAGGTTTGATCTTGCTCTTCTACCTAGTTTTTTATGGGTTCTTGGCTGCACTCTTCTCATTCACAATGTGGGTTATGCTTCAGACTCTGAACGATGAGGTTCCAAAATATCGTGACCAGATTCCTAGTCCAGGACTTATGGTTTTCCCAAAACCAGTGACTGCGTTGGAATATACATTTAGTGTATCAGATCCAAGTTCCTATGAAGGGTACGTTAAAGACCTTAAGAAGTTTCTAAAATCATATTCTGGAGAAGAACAGAGTAATCTCAAAGACTGTCCTGATGGAGTTCCTTTTGAACAGAAGGGTCCAGTTTATACTGCATGTCAGTTTCCTCTTGCCTTACTCCAAGAATGCAGTGGTATAGGTGATCCTGATTTTGGCTATTCCAAAGGAAAACCTTGTATTCTTGTAAAAATGAACAGAATAATTGGATTAAAACCTGAAGGAGATCCAAGGATAGAATGTGTTCCAAAGGATGGAAGCACAGCAATTGTAGAAACATATCCTAATCTTGGAGTTATAGACTTAAAGTATTTTCCATATTATGGGAAAAAACTGCATGTGGGATATCTGCAGCCATTAGTTGCTGTCCAGGTCATCTTTGGATCTAATAGTACCAGGAATGAAGTAACAGTTGAGTGCAAAATTGATGGATCACCCAACCTAAAAAACCAGAATGATCGTGACAAGTTTTTGGGACGAGTTGTGTTCAAAATTATAGCACGTGCATAGTATGTGTAGGATGTCTCCACAGAATAAATGTTGTGTTGTCTGTCTTCATTTTGCATCAGCTGGACCTGCCATTCTAGAATTAAGAGACCACCTTGGAGAAGGTGTGTGGTACATGACACTGGGGTGACATCATAACGTGCTTCCAGATCATAGTGTTCAGTGTCCTCTGAAGTAACTGCCTGTTGCCTCTGCTGCCCTTTGAACCAGTTCATTCACCTGATAGGGACCAGTGAACACCTGATTCTGAACACGTAGGATGGGGTCTTGCCCTCTTTTTATGTGGTTTAATTGCCAAGTGTCTAAAGCTTAATGTGCTGTGCTATGTAAATATTTTATGGATTTAACACTGGTTAACTGTTATATTTTGATGCCAACAAAATTTTAGGGATAAAATGGTACCTGGCCAACATCAAGTGACTTTATAGCTACAAGCAGTGTGTGTGGAGAAGTTCTGTATGTGAGGAGGAAAAAAAGAAAATAAAAGTGGATCTAAAAGTGTAAAAAAAAAAACAAACCACGTCTCAATAATAACCCTGAATGTGAATGGCCTATACTCATCAATTAAAAGACATAGTCTGGCAGATTCAATGAAAAAAAAAATATCCAACAATATGCTTCCTTCAAGAGACTCATCTCACAGGAAAAGACATACACAGACTGAAGGTGAAAGGATGGGAAAAAACATACCATTCACATAAGCCACATGAACAAGCAGGGATTTCCATTTTCATATCAGATAAAGTGAACTTCAAACCAAACTTAGTCAGAAGAGATAAAGGACTTTTCATACTGCTTAAGAGAGCCATACATCAACAAGACATAATAGTCATAAATATCTATGCTCTAAACAAGGGAGCACCTACATATATCAAACAAGCCCTTCTCAATTTCAGGAAGCAAATAGATCACAACATAATAATACTTGCTGACTTTAACATACCTCTATCACCATTGGATAGATCTTCCAAACCAAAACTAAACAAAGAAACTATAGAGCTCAATAATACAATCAATGAATTAGACTTAACAGAGATATATAGAGTATTTCATCAGTCATCACACAAATACATCTACTTCTCAGCAGCACATGGATCCTTCTCTAAAATAGACCATATATTATGCCAAAGAGCAACTCTCAGCAAATACAAAAAAATAGATACTACCCAGTATTTTCTCAGATCATAATGGAATGAAACTAGAAATCAATGACAAAATAAAAAATAGAAGCTACTCTAACACCTGGAGAATAAATAATATGATATTGAATGAGCAATGGATAGTAGAAGACATCAGAGAGGAGATTTAAAAAAAAAGTCTTAGAGATAAATGAGAACACTGATGCAACATGTGAAAATCTCTGAGACACGATGGTAGTGCTAAGAGGAAAATTCATTGTATTGAGCTCATTAATTAAAAGAATAAAACGTCAACATGACCTAACATTACATCTCAAAGCCCTAGAAAAAGAACAAATCAACACCAAAAGTAGTAAAAGACAGGAAATAATTAAAATCAGAACTGAGATCAATGAAATTGAAACAAAGGAAAAAATTCAAAAAAATCAAAAGTTGGTTCTTTGAAAAAAATAAATAAAACTGATAAATCCTTAACCATGCTAATAAAGAGAAGAAGAGAGAAAACTCAAATTACTAAAATTCATGGTAAAAAAGAAAATATCACCACAGACACTAGTGAAATACAGAAGATAATTAGAAAATCTATTTTATAATCTATACTCCAATAAAATAGAAAATCTCAATGACACTGACAAATTTTAGAAACTTTTGATCTACCTAAACTGAATATGGAGAACATACACAATTTAAATGAATCAATTTCAAGCAAGGAAATAGAAGACGCCATCAAAAGCCTACCAACCAAGAAAAGCACAGGACCAGATGGATTCTTAACCAAGTTCTACAAGACCTTCAAAGAATAACTAACACTAATACTCCTCAAATTATTTCATGAAATAGAAAAGGAGGGAACTCTTCAAATTCATTCTATGAGGCTAGCATCACCCTGATACCAAAACTAGACAAAAATACATCAAGGAAAGAAAACTTCAGAACATTATCCCTAATGAACATAGCGACACAAAAATTCTCAATAAAATCCTGGCCAATCACATACAAAAACATATTCAAAAGATAGTGCACCACAATCAAGTGAGGTTCGTCCCAGGGATGCAAGTTTGGTTCAATATATGGAAATCAATAAATGTAATTCATTACATCAATAGACTTAAATACAAAAATCATATGATTATCTCAACAGATGCTGAAAAAGCATTCAATAAAATACAGCACCTCTTCATGTTCACTAGAAAAACTAGGAATAGTAGGATCATACTTCACCATTATAAAAACTGTCTATGCTAAGCCCCAGGCCAACATCATTCTAAATGGAGAAAAATTGGAAGTATTCCCTCTACAAACTAGAACAAGACAGGGATGCCCTCTTTCACAACTTTTACTCAACATAGTCCTTGAAATTCTAGCCAGAGCAATCAGACACACAAACTAAATTAAAGGAATACACATAGGAAAAGAAGAACTCAAACAATCACTATTTGCCTATGACATGATTCTATATTTACAAGATCCAAAAAATTCCACCAGAAAACTTCTAGAACTAATAAATGAATTCAGCAAAGTAGCAGGATATAAAATCAATACCCAATCAAATACATTTTTATACATAAGTGATGAATCCACTGAAAGAGAAATTAGGAAAACTACCTCCATTCAAAATAACCTCCCAAAAAAAAGTAAAATACTTGGGAATCAATCTAACAAAAGAAGTGAAAGACCTCTACAATGAAAAATAAGAACACTAAAGAAGGATATTGAAGAGGAACTTAGAATATGGAAAGATCTCCCATGCCCTTGGTTAGGCAAAAATAATATTGTCAAAATGGCCATACTACCCAAAGCGCTATACAGATTCAATGAGACTCCAATTAAAAGACCAAAGTCATTCCTTATAGAAATAGAAAAAGCAATCATGAAATTCATTTGGAAAAATAAGAGATCCAGAATAGCCAAAGCAATCCTTAGCAAGAAGAGTGAAGCAGGAGGCATCACAATACCAGACCTTAAACTATACTACAGAGCAAAAATAGCAAAAACAGCATAGTATTGGCACTAAAATAGACATGCAGACCAATGGTACATAATAGTAGATACAGAGACCAACCCACATGAATAAAGTTATCTCATACTAGACAAAGGCACCACAAAATACATTGGAGAATAGATAGCCTCTTCAACAAATGGTGCTGGGAAAACTGAAAATCCATATGTAGCAAAATGAAATTAAAACTCTATCTCTTATCATGCACAAAACTCAACTCAAAGTGGATCAAGAATCTAGGAATTAGACAAGAGACCCTGTGCCTAATAGAAGAAAAAGTAGACCCAAATCTCCATCATATCAGATTAGGCCCTGACTTCCTTAATAAGACCCCTAAAGCACAAGAAATAAAATCAAGAATCAATAAATGGGATGGACTCAAACTAAAAAGCTTCTTTGCAGCAAAGGAAATAATCATTGAGGTGAAGAGAGACCCTACAGTATGGGATCAAATTTTTACCACATGCACATCAGATACAGCACTAATCGCCAGGATATATAAAGAACTCAAAAGACTTAATACCAAAAAAAAAAAAAAAAAAAAAAAACAACCCAATAGATAAATGGGTTATGGAGCTGAACAAACACTTCTCAGAAGAAAATATACAATTGATCAACAAATATATAAAAAATTGTTCAACATCTTTAGTAATTAGAGAAATGTAAATCAAAACTACTCTTAAGATTTCGTCTCACCCCAGTCAGAATGGCAGTTATCAAGAACACAAGCAATAATAAGTTTTGGAGAGGATGTGGGGAAAATGGTACATTCATACATTGCTGGTGGGCTTCAAATTGGTGCAACCACTTTGGAAAGCAGTATGGAGATTCCTCAGAAAACTTGGAATGAGACCACCATTTGACTCAATTATCCTACTCCTTGGTCTATACCCAAAGGACTTAAAATCAGCATACTATAGTGATATAGCCACACCAATATTTATAGCAACTGAATTCACAGTAGCTAAACTATGGAATCAACCTAGATGCCCATCAATAGATGAATGGATAAAGAAATTCTGGTGTATATACACAATGGAATATTACTCAGAATTAAAAGAGAATAAAATTACGTCATTTGCAGGTAAATGGATGGAGTTGGAGAATACCAGACCTTAAGGTCACAATACCAGACCTTAAACTATACTATAGAGCAATAGTAGCAAAAACAGCATGGTATTGGCACCATGTATAAATTTCTTTATCCATTCAGCTATTGATGGGCATCTAGGTTGTTTCATAGTTTAATTATTGTGGATTCGGCTGCTATAAACATTGATGTGGCTATGTCACTATAGTATGCTGATTTTAAGTCCTTTGGGTATATGCTAAGTGAAGTAAGCCAATCCCAGAAAATTAAAGGCCAAATATTTTCTCTGATTAGAGGATGCTGATCTATGATACGGAGCAGGGGGAGGCACAGGAAGAATGGGACAACTTTGGATTAGGCAAAGGGAAGGGTACGGAGGGGTTATGGGGTTAGGAAAGATGGTGGAATGAGATGGACATCATTACCCTAGGTACATGTATGATTACACAAATGGTGCATCTCTACATTGTGTACAACTAGAGAATTGAAATGTTTCACTTCATTTGTGTATGATGAATTGAAATGCATTTTGCTGTCATATACAACTAAGTAGAACAAATAAAAAAATAATAATGAAAAAGATAGGAAAAGATGGTTGGGGATGTAGCTCAGTAGTAGAGTGTGTGAGACCCTGAGTTCCATCCCCAACAGCTCCAGGCAGGAAAAATACTGGTAAAGTTTTAAAAAACTAATAATAAAGAATATTGTTTTGGAATGCATTTACACACACTTATGTATGCAGGTATGTATATGCATATGCCATATGTGTGTGTGTGTAGGTGTATTTACTATATGTATGTATGTATATATGTTCTCATGCCAC